TTTCCTGCCAGTTGGCCTTTGCACTGGCTGTTCCCTCCATTGGGCATGCTGTTCTCTTGTCTCTTCCCAGGGCTGGCCCCTTCTAGTTTAGGGCAACATCGTTCCTCAGAGACCTTCCCACACCATCCTGTCCAAATCGGCTACCCCATCCCCAGACACAACTGATCACATTACCAAATTTGCTTTTTATTCATGACTATATTCGCAGCTTCTAGAATAGTGCTTGACATTTATAGGAGGCCCTCAGTACAAAAGGATGAGTGAGTAAATGGACGAATGAATGAATGATTGAATATACATTCACATTTTTTCTTTTGTGGAGCCAGTAGTTAGCTGGAGTTGCCTGGAAAAGAGTGATTACCTTTTCCGTTTTCCTAGGCCAATGAGGTCTGGAGACCAGTAGCCTGAAATCCGCACCACCTGGGAACTGCTAGAACTGCACACTCTCAGGCCCCAGCCCAGACCTGTGCCAGAAACACTGGGGGTGGCACCCAGCAAGCAGTCTGTGTTCTAGTATGTTCTCCAAGTGACTCTGATGCTTGAAAACCACTGCCCTAGGTCACTGAGGCAGGACCTGGGTCTATCTGATGACCTCTGCGTCCTCAGCCCTAAGACAATGCCTGGCACAAAGTAGACAGGAAGTATTTGTTGAATGAATCAATCTATCTCCTCTTTCCTCCACACCCCCTCACCAATGCCCTGTACACCAAAGGTGCTGGATGCACAAATGTTGAGAAAGGGAATGAATGCCATTCTGAGGACCTGAGGGAAAGCATTTGTGCCCTGCACTGCAGACCTTTCCAAATTTAGAATCCCAGCCCACCCATTCCTCATGCCTGTGGCCTCGAGAGCAGGAGAGGAAATTTCCATCTGCTGCTGGTAGATGCTAATTTGTTTTCATTTGACCCTGGTGTTCCTGCAAGTGAGCCCAGGGGAGAGGATGGTTAGAGGTGGGCTTGCTCACACACAGACCCCTCCAGAGAGGGGAGCAGGAGCTGGTCCCTGTGAGGATGGTGAGGTGGAGCCAGGCCAGTGGCCCAGGCGCCAGAGGCGGCTGGAAGGGGCGGGTCCTTGCTGCTCACAGATGGCTTCCTTGTTCCCACTCCAAGTATTGCTTTTGGCTCAAGAGGCTCCCAGTAGAGAGTCCCAAGTGGGACTTTCTGGGGCTCTCAGCCTTGCTATTTTTACACTCTGACTTCCAGGCCCTGCTTCCTGTTACCTCAGAAAAAGAACAAAACCGTGAACAACAAAGGGCCACAGAGCCACTTTGAAAGGGCGCCTGTGGCTTTCAACTCTTATGCTGAACCATCCCCTGTTTCAACTCTTATGCTGAACCATCCCCTGTTAGCTGTGACTTTGCCTTCAGTGAGATGCAGTGATGATGGAAGGCTAAAGCATCCTGCATGCAAGATCCTGCAGGAAGGATGGGAAGGAGGAATAGGTGGGATCTCAGTCTCCGCGGTGTGTCTGCGGGTGGAATTTGGTCCTAAGACCTCTAATGGGAGGGCCCAGGTGTATGGGCAGCTGGAATGACTGCCCGGATTTACTGCAAGCAGAGTTAGGGAGGGAGGCACAGGAAGGCAGACCCTCGGTAACGCCTGCATTGGAGGTGTCCTCATGGGACTTGACGGTGGATCAGGGGTCAGGGCCATTCCCCTGGGGTGAATCTTGGTGCCATCACTTACCTGCTGTTTGACCTTGGTTAGGGCAGCTGACTGGGCTCATCGCCTCAGCCTTGCAGCCTTTTCTTTTGTTTCTCCCCATTATTCACCTTCTGATTTCCCCATAATGATTTTTCTCAGGTCTCTGGAAAAGTAAAATCCATGTCTGCATGAGAACATAGTTTACCCCCTTGGCTTTGAACCAAGGGATATCTCTGAAACAGGGATAACAACAGTGTCCTTCACAGGGCAGCCGTGGACACTCCATGGGCTCCTGCACTAAAGCAAAGGAGAGCTGGGCGCTGCAGCCCCCAGTCAGCACCATATCCTTGTTACTTTTACGGTTATTAACAGTATTGCTGTTACTGGTTCTTGGAACCTCATGGCTGCATTAAAAGGACTTAGGTTTAAGTCCCAATAGGCCTGGATTCTTGTCCTGGCTTGCTAATATTCTTACGCATACCTTCTAGCTGAGATTGATGTGAGCATTAAATGTGATGTGTGAAGATGTGCTTTACCTGATGGGTGAAGAGCTTTTTTTTTTTTTTAATGAGGATCCAGACCCACAGTGGGGGAGAAATTCAAGAACTATACAAGTACAAGGCAACTTGATTCATTTGGGGATGGTTCGCGTTTGAAAGAAACCCAGGAAAAGTTTAGCAAATCTGCTTAAAAATGGACAGCTGGGGAGATAAATCTTTATTTTTAAAATTTTGGAATATATGTATTTTTTATCTATACATTAATTGAGGGGCAGACATTTAGAGAAAAAGAAGGTATCTGTGAAGCAGAGGTATAGCTTCAGGGGCAGGGTGCATGATGGGAAGAAGTCCAGCAAGGCATGCCTGGGTAGAATCTGATCTTACCTGACCACCTCAGATCCCCAGAGTCCAACCCCCCTGATGGAACCTGGTTGACCTTCTTCTCCAGGGAAAGAGTCACCATAAGATTACCATCTTTTATCTTTATTCTTTGAACCATCATGACCATTTAATCCCATAAATTCTGTAGTGAGCATTTTCCTTTGGGCATATGAAAATATTTTCTTTATGGTGACTTTAGTGAATTTAATACATTATTATATTGTTGGTTTCAAAGACCTACAATATAATAATGATAATAACAATAACAGTGAACATTTATGTAGTGAATATGCCTATGATATGTCAACCTTTATTCTGAATGTTTTACACGTTACCTGGTGAGGTAGGTGTTATTTTGATCCCCATTTTATAGGTAAGCATCTGAAGCCCTCCTCAGATAACCAAACCTGAAGGCCACTGACCTTAATCTCTGTCCTTGGTTTGACATGATTTCATATTATGATAGTGCTATTATATGTAGCTATTCTTCATATATGCTAATGCCCCAGCTGTAGAAACAACCAGGACAAATGTGTAAATTCAGGCCCTCAAACCTCAAAAACCACAGAAATGGTAACTACCAGCCTCTTTACATCCTTTCAGGTTTTAGCCCCAGAGGTTGTCTGTGAGCCCCTAGAATGGGACAGGAACATCCTCAGTATAGGGTTTTCTGCAGCGTAATCCAGAAACCCATGTATTTTACCTTTCCTGTCTCATTTGAGATGCTGAAAACAAAATAATAGCAAAAACAACCCCCCAAAAAGAAGACAGAACATAGGAGTTCATGCATATGTTTGTTTCGAGTTGTTTCTGCAAAATTTGGGTAACTTGAAATTATTTAATCATGCTTAATTTCCTGTAGGGGGAGGGGACATTTACATTATAATTTGAGACAAGTGGCAGTTTTGCCTCTGGCAGATTTCAATGAGAATGTGAATGCTGCGATCCCAGCAGCCAGCCGCATGAAAGCACATCTGTGCCCCTATCTTAATCAAACTCTTTGTTCAGGCTCTTGTTTTCTTGTTGCGTCTGTAACAGCCTCAGCGATGCCTGTGCACATGATGCGATGGCACTTGCTTAGAGCAAGGCCCACATGCTTTCTCAGTGGAATTGCTGTCAAGTGCTCCAGCCTCTTCCTGCCGCACAGAAACGGCCACACCGAAGAGGGTCTAATCCTTAGCATAAAGTGATCCCCAGGTTTAGAGCTCAGTTTCTTAAGTTTTTCTACCTGCCTGCATTGATACTGTTGCCTGTGATTCCTCCATTATGCCTCCATCTCTATGAATTTCTCACTCCAATCCTCTCCTCTCTCCTGTCTTCCCTAGCACTTTAATCCATTTCATATTTAACTCAAGAATGAGATTTTTAAGAGCAAATAGTTATTTAGGAAATACATAAAGTATTCACATAGGCCAGAGATGACTGAAACTGTTCAGTAGATTTATTTTATTTACTGCCGCGTCACCGCCCCCCCCCCCCAACAGTGTTTAAGCAACTATGTTTGAATTTGAATGCCTTTGGACCTTGCACATGCTTCTCAGTGTGCCACATTCTCCACCATTCTCTGTTGTTTTCACACCCACCTTACTTTGTATGTTTACATCACCAGCCCAGTTTTAGAGTCAACCTGGTCCCTTCTTGAATTCCAAGGCTTTTCCAGTCTGCCTTCCTTGGGAATCTTCTGTGAGCAATTTAGAATTCTAGAGTATTAAAAAAACATTGCTACTTTGCGTGTGTTTATAATCAAATGGGAGGAGCTGTTAAAGTAAATGGGATATGTAAATATAGAACTCGTTTATAGAAAGCGGTTAAAGGAAATAAGAGTTGTACTCATTGCTGGGAATGTTATACACCAGCCAGTGAAGCTTAACATATTTACAAAGGGATAGTTAACTGTGGCTACTGGAGCAAATGAAGCCTGAAAGATTGCTGGAGGTAAAAATGACAAAACTGGAGCTGTCCTACTTTGGGCACATGAGAAGGCAGGGTTCTTTAGAAAAGACCATAATGTAGGGAAAAATAGAAGGCAGCAGGAAAAGAGGAAGACCAAATATCTAACGGATTGACTCCGTGAAAGAAGCCATAGGCTTGAGTCTATAGGAGCTGTTGAGGTCAGAATAGTGTGGACATCATTCATTCATGGGGTGGCCAGGTGTCAGAGCCAACTCAGAGGCAAGTAATGACAACATTGGAGCTTTAGCTTGTTCATAGGGTTCTTGGAGCTGTTGGATGACTTGATAGTAGGTCTGTTATGTCCATATTCTCGAGTGTCAACTTTCCTTTCCAGTTCTTTTCTTGTTCCTTTCCATATCGCTTCTTTTACCATATTTTATATCTGTAGGATTTCTGTAGTTCTTCTCATCTGAGCTATGGACACATCTGCCTATCAGATTCTCCTGATGACTGGTACTGAACTTTGGAGACTGTAATTTGTTTCCTCTTTTAACAAAACCTTCCCTTTTTTTCCATTTCCCAGCAGATATATGGAGTGATCACTCATTTCAGACCGACCCAGATTTGCCTCCTGGCTGGAAAAGAATCATCGACATTGCCGGGACCTATTATTGGCACATACCAACAGGAACAACCCAGTGGGAACGCCCTGTCTCCATCCCAGCAGAGCTTCAGGGCTCTAGGAAAGGGTCACTTAGTTCTGTAACGCCATCTCCCACTCCAGAGAACGAGGTAAAATGGAGTATCTTTTTAACGACTTAGTAGAGTGAATGTAACTTGTGATTTCTCTTTAGATTTGTTGCTTCTGCCCCAACAGGTCATCAAGGTTAGCTTTTTTATTATTATGCATGTTGCATTTTAAATCTCAGTAATGCTCCCTCTTAGTAAATAGCGTTAATACCATCTTTCAGGGATGTTTTCATTTTTTAATGGCTTTTGATCTCTTGAAACACCATTCCAGGTACAGAAACTAAGAGGGGCTGATTAATGAGAAGTGGTTAAGATTCCCCAGGGCTCATGGAGGCAATATTTTACTCTGTAGGTGCCACTACATGGTGCTGACTCCATAAAATATTTACACAGAAGAACATCTCTTGGCCAGATGTCTTATAATTACTGCATATCTTATTATTCTTGGGTTCATTTGATTGCACGGAGAGGATGTCTGTAAGAATAACCCTTGAGAGCCCTTAAATGCTCAATTTCTGTTAAAAAAAAAAAGAATCTGTTTATTTAGCAGAAGTGACATTATTTTAGAAATAATGAGCAGCATAAATTTCTGCTATCCCTTAGGAAGAAACCTGAGTGTTTAAACAAAGAATTGAGACATTAAAAAATCCCATTGTGGTATTTATTAATATAAAGATTCCTGCAGTGTACCTTTGTGAATCCTGATAACAAAATATTCAAGAGAAGTATATTTGGAAAAGGTCACAATGAAGTATTGGGGTTCTTTTTGGAGAAAAGCGATTTGATCGCTGTTACCAAGACATTTCTGCCTTTTTGTGACTACAATCATTTTTTCTTTAAACAACCCATTTTCTTTTACTTTGGGGACATGGTTGACATTTGAACTGCATCTCTTGCCTGCGAAGCTTCAAAACTTCTCTCTATATATTTGCAACTATTATCACCTTTCCTTATAGGAAACAAGAAAAAGACATCTTTGATGATTTACTTGTTCTTCCCTGGGAAGCAATAAAACCTACATTGCAACCATATCCTTCTGTTACTAGGCTTCAGCATCTCACTTATGCAGCCTGGACCTCAGATCCTCCATCTTTAAAGTGATGGGTTGGGGCGAGCTGTACCTTCATTGGTAGACAAGGGCCTTGATTTGTTGGTAGTTTCCCCTGACAATCAGGCACAAGCTTCAGTTCCTCCGAACCACATAGGATTGTGTTGCTTAACACTAGGTGATTTTGACAACTTTTTGTTGAAGCATCATATTCCTACTCCCTGAGCAATTCCACTGTTATTTATTCGGGTATTAGGTGCACTGGTGGGGAGTAAAGATGAACCAACACAGCTCTGGTGCTCAAGGAGCTTAGCATGTAGTGGAGTCCTCTTCCTATTCCAGCCCAGTCGCATCTTGACATTTCTTTGTGGACCACAGAGTGGCTTCCCAGAAGCTGAGCCAGCCAGGGTGCAGCCTATGCTGTCACTAAGGCACAGATATCCTCTCTTCCTTACCTGTATATCTTTGCTCTTGGCATCTCTGTTAGAATCTCTTTCCTCATTTCAGGGCTTCGTTCCCTTTTTGGAACCCTTTGGCCATCTTCACTAATGGAAAGTGCCCCATAACCAGAGAGAGAATGCCAGGGTGGGCAAGGATCATTTAATACCAGCATCCATACATTATAGTCAGGGAAACTGAGTCAGAGAGAGGCCAGTGACCAGCAGCAACTCAGAGTTCCTGAATCCTAGGCCAGAGTTCTTCTCACTCAACTTCCCTGGCTTTGGGATTTCAGCCTATTCAGCTTTCTTATTGTCCCAGAGGTGAGGAGATTAGCGTAATTCTGAGATACTGTTTCTGTTCAGTGAATCTCCTGTCCTCTGAATGTGGAAGAAATCAGGTCCTTTGTAAAGCCTGCCTCCCAGGGCCAGGGTGTGAGTGTGGTGGAGTCCAAGGAGGGCATCCTGAAGTTTCTGTGGCTCAGATTGTTATCTCCCTGATTAATATGGTAGACTTGCGTTTGTTTCCATGTTTTGGGAAGAATGCAGCGCAAGTGGATGGCGGGCCCTGGGGAAAATTGCCAGGTCCACTTCTAATCCCTGAGCCTCCTTCGATGCTCACTTTTGCATATTCTTCACCTTATCCATGCCACCTTCCTTCCTCCTTGCCATCCACTGCTCAGGGTCCCTTCCCATGCCCCCCGCTTCTCCTTTAGAGTTCAGTGTTACCCTCACATACCCCCAGTGCTCAGCCTCCCAGCTACTCTTCATGACTTGTGACCGCAGAGTATTTTCTTAAATGTCATTTTTCATTTGTTCCTTCAAGTGGCAGAGAAGACAGCTATTATGCTCCCTACTTAAGAAAAGAGGGAACTGAGGTTCAATCAGTTGAGGAGCCACACACCTGGTGTTGGGGTGGGCGTACGTCCCATTCTCTGACTCCAGATCCTGTGCCTGCCCAGGACTGTGTGAACTCCCACCTCCCTGCTGGTTCCACTCCTCTCTTCGGTTGCTAACCACGCCACTGTGTTGAAAGCCTCATCCCCTCAGTGAACTTCCTTAATTGATGTGTAGTTTGAAGTTTCAGAGAGAGAATGACGCATACCCAGCACTTTAATGTGGATGTTCTTCAGGTCAACCTTTCAATTGTTCACTTCATACACGTTTTTCCTGTACACAAGGCCATCCATAAGTCAAAGAACCAAGCAGATTTAAAAGGCAATAAATTATAATTGTAAGCATGTAGAGAAAAGAGGAAGGGGAGAGTTGGGGAAAAGACCCAGCCTGCCACATACCCAGGAAGTGCAGATGCTGAAACGGATATTAAATCAGAGGCACTAAGGGTAATCAAAAGAGTACAGATAAGGCTTGTGCCTTCTCTCCTTACTGCTCATAAAACCCTGTGCATCCGGTACTATAGTCATGGTTCTCTTTTTACATAGTTACATACAGCGCTGAGACCCAGAGAGGTGAAGGAACTTGCCCAAGATCACACACGTAATCCATGGTGAAGTCAAGCTTGAATGAAGGGCTGTTAACCCCCAAGCTTCACTATACTGTGTATCAGGGGACTTGGAGAGCCTCAAATCTCTTCACCTTATCCGCAGGGAAGCCTGTGTCATATGCAGAGCCTTCTAGAAAATGACGTCTCTTCATAACATGGTCTCAGGTGCTAATAACAGTTGAAAAAAAAATGATTATTTCTCAGACACCATTCCTTTGATCCCTAACTAGAATCTATTTCATCTAATTTGCAAACATGAGAAAAAGCGAAATGTTAAGGGAGAGAAGAAACTTGTAGTATGTTGTGTTAGAAATGCATATTTTATTCAGCTTTTCCCTGAGCTAGCTTTTAAAAAAAGTCAAATAAATAAGTGCCAAATCTGTTGACTAAGCTTCACAAAAGTTTAGGACTGAAGGGTTCCTTACAGTTTGAAAATTCTACATATCACATTCCAAAGTTTACTAGGGAAGTGTTAAGCACAGCAGATAATGTTTCCTCTGCACATGCCAGCAGTATTTTTGAAAGTTTATAAACCGGCCAGGAAGCATTTGCTGCTGAAATTTGGCCCATGATCATCTCCCCGCAGTCCAGTGATTTGTTCCAAACTATTTGGCTGTTGAGTTTTAGAAGAGGGAGCCACACAGAATATTTTTATGAGTAACTGTTAGCCCATAGGCAAGTCTTCCTTACAATCTTTCCAACCGAAGGTGTTTCCTAGTTCCTTAAGAAAAGAGTATGGAGGAGAAAGTGGGTCAGGACTGTGATCTCTTCTTGATCACAATTCACTCTGTTCTTGCTGCATTGTTCGTGATGTCCGTAGGAGCCCTGAGCGCTAACTCTCTAGGCAGGAAAAAAATCCATGCATTATGATAGACCTGCGGGTTGCCATATACACTTAGAAATAAGATGGCAACCCAGAGGGGCCAGTCTATCATCAAATTGACTAAACTTCTTGACCCGATCAAGTTATCAATGACATTGTAGAGCTCATAAGAACCTTTGAGAAGGGCCTAGTGAATGCTATGGTATTTCTCAGCCTAGATGAGCCAAGAATGACCTCCGGGAATTATAGTGCTTGCTGATTTTCTGGTCCTACCCCAGGCCGCTGAGCTAGATTTTCTAAGGGAGTGTCTGAGAATATGCGTTTATCAGAAGCTTTCCAGGTGATCTTGTGCTGAGTAAGTGTAACAGCTGGTCCTCTAGTGAATCTAGTCTCCCTGTTTTTATCTATATGTCACTTCCTCTTTGGCCTCATACTAGCGTCTCCTGTGAATTATTGCTCTCACACCTCTGCTCTGAAATTCCTTTATTTCATAGCGTGTCTTTGTGGTGTTATTATTTGTGGCATGTCAGTCTCCCTTCTGTGGGATCAGGACCTGTCCACCTCATCTGGTGTCCCCAGAACAGTACCTGGTACGTGGTGAAGGGCATGAAATGTTTGCTGAATGAAGGAGTAGACCAGCTGCATAACTGAGGGAGCTAGTTGATGTGCTGTAGTGGCAGACCCAGCACTAGAGCTCCAGGCACCCTGACATTCCCCTGGCTTAGAGTTTCTACATTTAATTGCACAAGCATTTGTCAGTCTGTTTACTAGTTTGACTTTTGCTTCGCTGGATTGTGTTTGTATGATAAACCATAACTTTATTCTTACAGTGTTACATCCAACAAAACACAAAAAGTGTTTTAAAAAGAAGGAAAAATATACACACATAGATGAATACAATGCTCATTAATGTTTCCTGGCCTGTTCCTTAGAATTCTAGGTGCTCTGCTGTTTGTCATCAAGGCCACATATACCAAAGCTCAAGTTTTGACAAAACAGGATTAAGAAGCATCATTTCTAACATTTTGTAGTCCATGGGTCTCCAAGCTTTTTATCATTACACATGACCTTATTTTTATTTTTATTTTTCCATCGAAAGAGTAGAGAATAAGGAAACTGCCATTTCCTGGGCAGCCGTGGGCAGCCAGTGTCTGTGCTAAGGACGACCGTTCTTGATCTCACTTTGTCCATGCTGTGATGGGAGATCTTCTTAGCCCTGTTTGATATATGAGGAACTGAGGTCACAGAGCAGGGGAGAGAGAAGGCAGGGCTTGAACCTGGGCTTTCCAGCAGAACTTCTGAAGTGCACACAGAAATACTACGATTTCCGCTTCTGTCAAAGCCACTGTGGAATATTCAAGTGCTTTCCTCTCTACCTGGTTCTCGGCAGACTCAACCCTTCACTCTTGCTCTCCAGCTTGCATTTTGATACCACTTCATAGAGACTGCCTTAGCGCCTCATAGGGACTTTCCCAGCCCCTCAGAGCCCATCTTCAAGAATAACTCTAATATTAGCTTTTTTTTAATAATTTTTTTTAATTGGGGAACATTGTGTTTTTCCAGGACCCATCAGCTCCAAGTCAAGTAGTTGTTTCAATCCAGTTGTGGAGGGCACATCTCAGTGGCCCCTGTGGGAATCGAACCGGCAACCTTGGTGTTATGAGCACTGTGCTCTAACCAATTGAGTTATCCAGCCGCCCCTAATATTAGCTTGTTTGCAGCAGAAAGGCAGTACATCCTTTTTGTTTGATCTGTGGAATTCCTTTCCAAGAGCTCAGAAGAGAAAATATGGAAGAAAAAGAAAGCTCTCAGTCATCAAGGTTATACAATTGAATTCCTTTAGTGGGTGCACCCTCAACAGCTTCTGCTGTGTGGTCATGAAGGGCGCCATGCTCCAGGCACCGGCTCAATCCCTGCAGACACTGCCTCTGAGGAGCTAAGGTTCCAGGGGTGTTCCAGAACTGAGCATGAGCACTATAATTGGGCAGGGGTGCTGCCTGGGCAAGGTCAAGGCAAGCACCAGGAGAGCATATTCCCAGCTATATATAATTCTGGCACCAGAAACAATTCAGCTATGCAGGGCTTTGGCTGCATTGCCCAAAAGATTATCAGTTGGGAGGCCGTTGCTCATGGAAGATGTCTCTGTTCTTCCTTTACTACCCTTGTTCCCTATCTTGGGTCTATGTCTTTCCTGAGGCGTATTGCCCCACCTGCCTTTACCTCTTTCTCTCTTCGTTCATCTCTCACTCCCACTAGCAGACTACAGACTGGGGTGGCTACAGCCTTTCTGTAGAACCAAAGAAGCTTTGTTGGGTTGTTGCTTTTCTTTTATTTTTTTTAATGTATTAACAAAAATGTTGTATTCTCTCTCCTTAAATAAAAAAAAATAGATAGAATATGTAATTCTTAAAATTTAAAACAAATTGTTTTTGTCTTTCATTGTCCTCAATCTAAAAAAGAAAACTGTAGTCACTTATTGGAGTGGAAAATTTTTTAAATGAGTATTTTTAAATATAGAAGGGGGGAAAAAAGGCCTTTGACCTAATCGTAACATAAAATGTTAGTTTCCATTTTTCCTTACTTGATTTTTGTGTAAAGGATTTCTTTAGGAGTGCCTGTGTTATTTTAAGTTTTCACAAAATCACTGTATAGGGCCTTTGTTTATTTAAATCTATAAAAAGTGATTGTTGGAAGTTTGCCAGCTGACTCATGTCTCCATAGCCTAAGAGCTAGATTCATGTAGTCTTAGAACTATAATCAACTTTTACATTATAGGGACCCCTTTGTCCAAAGAGTAAATACATAAAAAAATTTTAAAGCCATATACTCTTAGAGAGAACTGTTTTATTAAATGCTAAAGATTTTTCTGAATACTTGTTTTTTTTTTAAATTCCTTTTTTGACGCTGTCCAGCCCCAACACAGTGTCTTTTAAGTATAATTTCTGATTTCAGATTTCTTTTATCAAATACCCACCCTTTAAAAAAAAAATTTCTCCACAAACACACAATTACCTTGGTCTTCCTAATTCATTATCTAAAAATCCTTTTTCAAATTCAACTTAAACGAAAACCAACTATTGCTCACATGGAAACAGTGATGATGATTTGGGGCTAAATAGGATTTTTTTAAAAGAAACTTTAGCTTAAAATTTTATTTTCTAGTTGATATTTCAGGTCCTTATCCTGAGTACTTATTAATACTCCTACAATGGTGACTCTAAGCCTTTTTTGGTCACTGGCCCCTCTGAAAATATGAGAAAAGTTGGGGATCAGCTCCCCAGGAAAGCACACATGCACAAAACCCCACACTTATTTCAGCGGCTTCACAGGTCCCCTCAGCTAACAGGTTAAGACTCTCCTATATGATTAATTTACTCCTGAGTGAAAACTGAACACTGCCTTTGGGGATGGAATAGGGAGAGAGGTCGGCGGCTGGGCAGCATTTCTGCTCTTTTACTCAATAAACGAAATTATTTTCAATAAATAAATACAGTCGCGTAAGTTTTATTTTATTTTGAGAAAACTGCAGTTCAGGTGCCTAGTCCAAAAAAAAAAAAATGCAACAATGGCACCAGCTGTGCAAGAGCGATAAAGGGCCTAAATTTACAGTGACTTTGTGCTCATAGGGTCCTACCGAGTTAGATGCATGCGTCTTTTAACACATGGGACCTTTGAACTTAGCTGCTTCTGCTTTGAGTTATTCCAAAAATTGTATTAATGTTGTGAGCAAAAGTGATGGTCAATGTTCCCTTCTCATTTTCAAAGAACTTTGAAAGTTATTTATTGGAAAAGTTTATATTACTAATTTATTATCTGAGAAAAGAGATTTTTCCTGATAAGTCAGTACAACGAATTCATAAGCGTGTCCCTGAGTTTTATTAATGTTATTTCCCCAAATCTTACATGAAAAATATTTGACTATTCACTCAATCTGGTAGAAAATAAAAAACGTTTCCTTGTTGCCTGAGGTGAATAAAGTTGTTTAAATTCAAAGATCTATTGTAAGAGTTCTACCAACAAGGCAAGGTTTCGTGCTTTGTTCTGTAATTATGTTTAGAAAGTCATTTTGTGGCCAGATATTAATTTGTGAGCAAGGAAGTAGAGCTTTTTATGAATTGGAGGAATTTACATTAGATTATTCAGGGCTATTTTTTGCTAGGTTAAATCTCAGCAAGATGATGTCAGGCTGTGTTCCTTATTAACTGTCTTTCCCCTTTATAGCCCTTTTTTTCTTTTAAGAGAAAATAATTTGACCCCTCAGTGTTTTATGCCCATAACCATGGACATTCCTCAGTTTCCAAACCAGCACCTTGACAAGTTATCATCCCCAATTCTACCCCGACCTCAAGAAAACAGTTCTGTTCGGTTAATAGGCGAGAAACTGGTTTCTGTGGAATTGCTAGGCATGCTAGGCATTTAATATTTGGAAGCATTTGGTTTGCTTTTAAGACCACATTTAGAAAATAACTTCTCTGTTAATGATGTTCAGTCTTTTGCTTTGGTAAGTAAAGCGCCATCTCTTTCCTCCTGCCTAGTCTTTACAATCGAGATCTAGAGAGAGTGAGCTTCAAGTCGCGTTTAGAGTGAATTTGTTTCCTAACCCATCCTGTGAATATCAATGCTAACAACAGTGTCTTGTGTTTTGTTTTTCTTTTTTCTTTCCCTTTTCTTTTTTTCTTTTTAAAAATCAATGTGCTTTTTTCCTGTGTGAATAATTATATGTCTAGAAACAGCCATGGAGTGATTTTGCTGTTCTGAATGGGGGAAAGATTAATAGTGACGTTTGGAAGGCAAGTATATTGTCAGCTTTTAGACCATTTAATATTCCGTTCTTTTTGCATGGCTGTGGCTGTATCTGTTTCTTCTTCGTAACCATCATGCATTCCGCAGGGACAGAGTGACGGGGCTTCTTGCTAGGGCAGCCCAGCTCACACACACATGTTGCCTTTTTTTTTACTTGTGAATGACTTCAAGCTGATGGCCCCAGGTTGCCTGTTGTCTTGTAAGCAGCGGCACTTGCACCAGTCAGCATCCAGCAGCCCTTGCATGCCTTTTTCTGTCTAAGCTCACGTGCACTCTCTGCCTCGGGCCGGGAGGACTTTTCTCTCCCATGACACTTGAGGCCATGTCGTGGGCCCTCCCCCATTCTCCATTAACAGGCAACTATTTTCCTCTAGGATTTGCATGCGGCCACAGTTCACCCAGACCCCAGTCTAAAGGAGTTTGAAGGAGCAACACTACGCTATGCATCTTTGAAACTCAGGTAGGGCATTGGAAGGACCGGCCGTGATGTGTGACTTGGTGCCACCAGAGTTTGCGATAGAATTCTAAGTCCAGTTTTCTGTTTTTCTTTCTAGAAATGCCCCACACGCTGATGATGACGATTCTTGTAGCATCAACAGCGACCCAGAAGCCAAGGTTTGTAAGAAACGTGCTGTCAGCAACCAGGTTATAGTCTTGGATCAAAGTAATGACTTTGAATAATGGCCCAGATTTTACAAACCATCTACCCAAATCCACTTATTATTATCCCTCAATCCTCTCTCTTTCCTAATCTCCCTGACTCTTACAGTAAATCCCTAGGCCAAGGTAGGTTTGGGAAGATTTCTGTAATCATCACGACTCGGCCTGTATCTCAGCACATTAATTCTTTGCACAATGTAATAAGTTAAAATTATTGTTTGATGGAATGGGTTTCAGAAGGCTGTAAGGTAAGCCAGGCTCTGCCTTGCAGAGCTGAACAGGTGGTACAAGATCCCTCACCCCCGTCTCCTCCAGGGCAGTCTCACACCTATGCAAGGTAAAACCTCTTTGCCATCCCCGTCATAAACACAGGCATGTTTCGTGATGGAGAGTGAGAGTGAACCTGTGCTTCTGGGCTTCTGGTGGGGTACCAGCAAGGCTGGCGTTGTGGGCATGCGGTCATGCAGTTGCTGAGAATCAGGTCCCCAGGCCCAAGGTTTAATGCTGTGCAGTCGCCGTCTTGAATTTCTTAATAATTTTATCTTTGACTTTGAGTTTTATAAGTAAAGCCTAGTGGGGCAATTGAGTATACACCAGGGGATTGGAGACTTGGCTTATGCACTGTTCTGTCACCTCCTATGTCCCTGGAAGGTTCTTGGTTGCCCATTCCCTGGCTTCATGACACCCCAGGCCCAGCCAGACCCCAGGCCCTGTCCCCATTCAGCCTTCCACCCCTGTAGGGGCTTGGGTGTAAGCATGGGGAGGATTGGTGCTGGGCACACAAGCTCCACTACTTTGAATAGTCAGAGTAGTGGCCTGTGCAGCCCAGGCTGACAGCACCTGGGGTGTTCAGTGGGTGACTCAGTGGGGATGAGGCCCATCTACCCCTAATCTAGATACCTAGCATGTCCTAGCACAGATGTTGCAATAAACTTGAGGGACACCCATCTGCTGTGGATTGGTGAGGGGGATGAATCCACGAGAATGAAGGATTCCAGACTCAATTTTCCCACCCCCGACCAGGGCATGGTGCATTTGTCCAGCGGCTGATGGGAAGGGGAGCCCAGAAGCTGATGATCTGTAGGATGGGCGGGACCCCTTGGTACCTGTGATGGTCTGCACGTGCCCTGCAAGTATCCCCATGCCTGAGGGAGCATGACATTAAATAACAAGTTAAAAAACACCATAACAAGTCAAGAAAGAGAAGCAAGAAGAAAGGGAATAGTTTCATGTTTTAACACTTTTTTCATTTTTTTCCTGCTTTTTAAACAAGGGGCTATGCATTTTCATTTTGCGTATTAAATTTGCATTTGCAAATAATGAAGCTGGTTCTTGGTATTTTTTCTGAGTCCCAAAGCCGATCTCTGTCTATAAATAAAGCAGCAAATGAGTTCCCTTAGTAGTAGTTACATCACTCAGGTTCAAAACCTTAGCTCCATTGCCACAAACTGCCATATTGCCATTGGTTCTGTAAGACTCTCAGGACGTGCAGTTGAAATCTCCGCTGCTTCTGGTCTGCTCAGCTTTATTCTAAGCAAAGCCTGATCAGATGAAAGCCACTCTAGAGCCAGCAGTGTTCTGAACAAGTCGTTGGGCTGTGGCTCTCATGGTGGCCTTTAAAGATGAATTCTATGGCAAGGAAGGGATGCAGAACAGCAGGAAGGTGGGTTGTGAATAAAATTTGCTTTGCTACCAGATGTTTTTACAAGGGGTGTCAGTACAGGATGGAGGAAGAGGGGTGAGCAGCCGCAGTATCTTTCTCTACCCATAAGGGCTGGGGCGGTGATGTCAGTAAAGCCAATGTGTGAAATTGACAAGAGTGGGCCGGGAGGGCGATGCCTGAATGGAGATGGAACTGGTACCAGGAATAGGAGGCCTGGGTGAAATATTACCTAAGTCGGTGCTTCGTCCTGGTTGTACTGCTTACTGAATTCTTCATCTGCCACCTTTCTGTGGCCAGCGTGTGTCCATTCCAGTACCTGTTATGAATTCGTGCATGTTAATAAATAGGCTTAGCTTTGTCATAAGTTACTAAAGCTATACTTAATTCTAAACTAAGTACGTGTATTGCATTATTTATTTTATATCCAATTTTGTTCCACAAAAGACCTGAGAAGACTTATGAGAACAAATGCCTTCTTTAAAAGGAGCAGAAAATATGAGGGAATAATCGGTGCCTCTGTGTGTTTCCATTGAGGGTGAATGGCACAAACCCATGGAAGGGCGACTGAGAACCTTGAAGGGACTTTTGCAAAGTACACCTGCTTCTAACTACCCCGCCCACCCTAGATTCTGAAGGTCCCCCGTGTCACAGAACGTCTGTCACTATTGAGGACTCCAGTCCTGTTGACGGGGGAAAGGGCTTCCGAACCCTACTTTATATGAATCAGTCACACTGTGTATAAGGCAGGAGCACCGCAGTTCCTTATAGAATGTAATGGTTTTTCTAGTGCTTCGTTATAAAATAATTATAATAAATAATATTTGAGTGCTAACTTTTTGCCAGGCATCGTCCTGAAGACTTTATTTCTGTTGACGCTTATCCTGACAAAAATTCAGTGGGCCAAGTATCATTATCTCCATTGCAGATGAGGAAACTGAGGCATAGAAAGTTCGGCGGCTAATAAGTAGTAGAGTCAGAATTTGAATCCAGGCTGTGTGGCTCCTGTGCTCACTAGGCTGTCCAGAGAAAAGTGTCACTTGGAACTTCACTGAGGGACCACCAGCAAATACTGTGATCAGGGTCCTCAGCAATATTCCAGATATTTTTAGATAAAGAGAATTTGGGTATTCCAGTTGGTATTTCATTGCATTACTCATTGGAAGCAAAGGACAAACACCCAAGCAAAATTCATTTCCAGGAAATCAGTGGAAGATTATGACAGTGTGGACCAGCTTTCTGCCTTGAACTTGAGGCAGAGGTAAGGCTACACTCTAGAAGTGGAATGGAGACAGCTTTTTTTCAGACTACCCATCAGTAGTATAATTCCAACTAGTTTTATGATAAAGGCTGGGCCCGGAACAGGAGAAAGCTGGGATTGAAGTGGAGATCATCTGTATGGATGGTGATGGGCAGATCTATGCCCTCTCGAACCACCATGCAGGTCGTCGAGTTGACGTCCCTTTGAGGAAATTGAGGTGTTTTGCTGTGCTCCTCCTCAGGTTGCATGGTCACGCCACCTCCTAGTGGAAGTGGGCCAAGGGAAGCCCCATGGAGAAAGCTAAGATTTCTTTCAGCATTACAACTATCTCAAGATCCAACAGCCCTGAATGCAGTTCTTTTTTACAAATTTTGAAGAAGTCAGTGAGTTGAGAACTGACTTTAATGAAGCCACTTTGGAGGAGTCCCACCATCACCACCACCTTCTCCTCTCCCATCTGCCCTCTTAGTCACTCCTCACCAATTTAATGCTGCTAGGATACATAAGAAGAGACAAGTGGCAAGACCAAGGATTTTCCAAATGTTCAAGCTCCCTAGACGTTACTTTTTTAGATAATCCTTTACATTGTTTGCATTCCCTGCCATGGAACAGGGAACTGAGTGTCTCCCAAAATAAGCAAAAAGCATCCTTTTTTAAGAAAAAAAAAAATTTAATTTCATGTGTCATGAAATTCTAAATATAGTCCCTGAGGAATGATTACTGAAAAGATTATTGTGGAAAATGTCGTCCTTACTACCGAAAGGAGACTTACATGCTAAAAAACTAAAAATCATTTTTAGACTATCAGGATATGGATACTTACAGATCCTCTCCAGCCACTCTGAGTCTGGGCTCCTTGATAATCATTTGTTCAATGACACCTCTAAGGAGCAGTGGGAACATAAAATGACCACATAACGGCACACATACAGCCTCCCTCTCTCTCTCCCCTTCCCTCTGCCTACCCCACCCCCCAAAGAGCAAAGTAGTTTTATAATTCTGAAAATGTATTTCAAGCCTACCTAATTTTTTATACAATATTTTTGTAGTTGATAGCAATATGTGTGAGTTTGTGTATAATTCTGAGCTATTTTAACTTGTTGTTTTAAAATGATAATAGATTTATAAAAGAGTAGCAAAGATTGTGTTCCCATATACCCTTCACCCAGCTTTCCTTAATAATAATAATAACATCTTCACAACATTGGCACAATCATGGTAAGAAGCTAATATTGATACCATATTATTAACTAAACTGTAGACTTTTCCACATTTTCCCATTTTTGTCACTAATATCCTTTTTCTGTTCCAGGACCAAATCTAGGATACTACGTTTGCTCTTTAAAAATTATTTCACGTATTCCTTTCCACAATTCTCAGGTCTGTCATTCTTAATTCCATTATACTTTTCCATGTAATTCATAGCACTGTAATCTGTTGAGGCACCCAGTATAGCAGAGCAGAGCTGCCACTTCATAAAAATAGGCGACTTTTTTTCTTTTAAGTTATTGCTTTGATATAGGTTGCTAAAACTGATATTACCAGGTCAAAGGCTATCAGATTATGGCTTCTGTCACTTATTGCAAAATTGCTTTTCAGAAAGACTACAGTAGCATATAATTCCATCAGTAATATCCTGGAATACACCCCTTTGTCCACTGCCCACTTTACTCTCGGCTTTGTCATTTTTATTTATTCATCTTTGTTTTATTGCATGTGAGCTGCTACCTCCTAGTTTAAAATTCCTCCTTCTTAAATTAGCATCGAGACAGGACTTTTTTTACAAAACTGTATTTCTGACCATTCTTGGCTATTTTTTCCTCTCATTTTTCTATGCATTTTTTAGAATAAAAACTTCATTTTGGAATAATTTTAGATTTACAGAATAGTTGCAAGGATAGTACAGAGAGTTCTTATCCTTCATCCAGCTTCCCTTAAGATCCTACCTTACATAACCATAGTTCATTTGTCAAAACTAAGAAATTAACATTGGTACCAAACTTAACACTTATTCTGATTTTATCAGTTTTTCTT